CCCACAAAGCCTCACTTCCTGAACCAAAGTGACCTTCTGAAATCTGGCCCCTCTGCCTCAGCTCTTGGCCCCATGCCTCTCCAATGCAACAGCTCCTACAACCATTAGCTTCCTTCCAAAGTCCCTATCGAGTTTGTATCCAGAGCAATACACTTTTCCTGTTTTCAAGAGAAGTGTCCGGGGGCCAAGGGACCAGTCAACAAAAGACTGGAGTACAGAGGGCTGTTTGAAGTTCCGAGCCATTTCCATGTATCACAGGGAGTTTGAAAGGGGGGTGGGGTTTCAGGGGCTCTGACGTGGAAGGCAGAACAGTGCTTGGAACACAGCTGCACTCAGTGTTCAGAACCGTGCTCGTGGGGTGGCCATGTTTCAAGCCACAGCGTGTTGAAAGAGTGATTACGTTTTAAGATAGTTTGGCTGTCAACCAAATAACATGTTACTCTCTACTGCCGAGCCAGGCACTTTTGCTGATCAGTGAATTTTTTAAAGAATGATAATAATAAATAAATAAACTGGTTTAAAAGCAAAACTTCATTTCCTAGGTGGGTCTCTTGTGGAAGGAATGGGAATCGGGATAGGAGGACTTCAGCCTGACTTCCACTGGGTCCCAGGATGTTCCTCTACAGAAGGTGGGACTCCGTTCAGGCTCCTCCAAAGTATCCATTTGCCATCAGTCCCATGCTATCTATATGAATGAATTTGGGCAAATCATCAATCTCTCTCTCTTGCGGTTTCTTCACCTTTACATAGAATAAGTATTATCGGTCCCTTACTCTCACATTTAGTGTTGAGTGGATGAGAACAGGAAAGCTGGCCTGGGAGTAAAGCAGACCGAGAAGCTTGGGTAGAGCACAAGGAAGCACAGACAAAGGCCTAAAGGTCTCCTGACTCTTTAGGGTGATATTTTTTGGTGTTTGACTGGCTCTTTATCAGGCTCTTTATCTTTTTCTTCTTCCTCAGCCCTAAAGACCTGGCCTGCTCTTCGGCTTGGGATTCTGCCCCTTCAAGACTGATCAAACATCCTCTCAATGTTTGTGCTCTTTCATGATCTCTGAAACAAGCGCATATCTAATTTTCATTTCCCACTTTTCAAATATGTTTTCACGGGCCGGCTGAGTGGCGCGATGGTTAAGAACTCGCTTGGGATGCCAGAGGGCCCCGCTTCGGATCCCACATATGAGGGCCAGTGACACTGCCCTCTACAGCTAAGATGCTGAACAACAGCTCAACCTGGAGCTGGGCTGCCATGAGTCGCCGGCGACGGCGGCGTAGGCTGCAGTCCCTGTGGCAATGGGTTGCCATGGGCTACCGTATGTAGCCAGCAGCCAGTGTGAGCGGCCAGCAGCCGCAGTGAGCAGCCATCCAGAAGCCGGAGACTGATCTGCCTCGCCAGAGAAGAGCGCAATGATGGTGCCAACTTGGGCCAGTGAAGCAACGTCCTCCACAACTAGACTGAAGAACAAAAGGACAGCAACTTGTCTGTTCCCCTTCCCCCAATTCCCCAGCGCTGTTCCCATCCCCCCAATTCCCCAATAAAAATCTTTAAAAAAAATGTTTTCACTACTAGTGATTGTGGGAAAAGAGGGCATGCCACAACACAAATAACAGAGTGACCACAAGTAATAAAATTTTTTTAAGATTGCAAGTCATCTAGTTTTAGTTCTCATTGATCATATTTGAGGCATCAAAGGGGAAGAATGCTCACAGAGCAGTGATGCTTGTGGTTCACAACTGAAACTGAGTCTCGGTAAAAGAAAGTTGTAATTATTTAATAATTTAGGTATTTAATAATAATAATAAACAGAAACGTGCAAAACTAACTTCAACATAAATCCTTTATTGGTATCTCAGTCATCATGAAGGACACACATGGTTCCCAGCTTCGTAGCTCTATATTGATTTTTTTTCCCCTTTTCTCTTCTACTCTCTTTGTACATGGCAGATTCTCCTATACTTTTTCCTCGATGCCCCATCTCACCCAAGACAAACTCCTCGACAACTCTGAGCCCAGGGATTTTATGTAAAGTCACTAAGCCCTTTCAACTTCTTGCCACCTGGATTTTGCTCTCTCCTATCCAATTTCTCACCAAAACAAACAAGCAAAAAACCAATGGCAACAACAAAAATACATTGCTCTGGAATGACAAAATCCTCCTTCAAGGATATGGAGGGCATGACTCATCCTTTATTGGAACTGGAGGAGGAAAGCATAAAGACTCTCACTTGCTCAAATATTCATGTGATCACGGGAACTAGGTCTGACCTGTCATAATGCCCCGTCTGATTCATCGCCCAGTTTGGGTCTAGAGCAAAGAAGCCCAGCCCTATGGGTAGGCAGTTCTCATCAAGAGTACTATCCTTTCTTACTTTAATACTTAATAGTATCTCCAGGGCCCTACCATTTACCGGTTTTTGGGACCTAACTCCTAGCACAGACCTTTCAGTTGGGGGTCCTGGGACTTCCCCAGCTTTTTTGGAATTACAACAGTAATAATAATAGCAATAATGATGAGTACAGTTATAGCTAACTTGGATAGGGCATTTTCTATGTGCCAGGTACTGTGCAAACATTTAACACTGATTGTCAGCTCTGGTTTCCAAGTTCTAAAGGATTGTGTTGGTTAACTACTGCTGCCTACCAAATTGCCATGGAACTTAACCGCTTAAAATAACACACTTATCTTCTCACAGTTTCTGTGGGTCAGAAATCTGGGCATGACTTAGCTGAGTCCTTGGGTTCAAGGTCTCTCAATCAAGGTGTTGTTTAGGGTTTAGTCACCTCAAGGCTCTAATGGGCAAGGATTTGGTTCCAAGTCACATGGTCATTGCAGGATGCAGTCCCTCACTGCTCATGGACGAAGAGCCTCAGTTCTTCATTGACTGTTGGCCAGAAGCTGCCCTCAGTTTCTTGTCATATGAACCTCTCCAATATGGCAGCTTCCTTCTTCAAAGAGTGCAAGCTACAAGGGCTATAGAGAGAGTGCTAGCAAGATAGAAATCACAATCTTTTGTAATCTAATGATGGAAATGACATCCACTCCCTTTGCCATATTCTATTGTTAGAATCAAGTCACTATGTCTAGCCAACACTCAATATGTCCAGCGCACACTCAAAAGGACATGGATCACTGGGGGTCATCTTAGAAATCTGCCAACCTCAATACCAATTGAGGAAAGAGTTGTTATAAGATTTCAAGGATAATATCAAGACCAGAAGATGAAAGTAGTTCAGGGTAAGAATTGAAGCTAATAAAGGTAGCAGCTAGGAGATAGATTGGAGAAGTACCTTATAGCATTTTTTTTAACTTTTTATTTTATTTTATTGGGGAAGAGCCATGGTCATTAGTTACACATTGCTTTCATGCTACAATGGCATAGTTGACTCTTTTAAGGGGTGGGGGGCGTGCAGCTCACAGCGACCCATGAGGGGATCAAACTGGCAACCTTGGTGTTATCTGCACCATGCTCTAAAACAACTGAGCTAACCGGTCACCCTTCTTATAGCATTCTTGATCCAGTCTTCCTCTCTCTCTCCTAGCTCATAACATGAAGGTAAAACTAAGGAGATGGTACATATGAAGCTAAAAGGTCCACATGGATTTACTGAACAAAAGAACTGTTTTTCCACTGGGAAAGTAAATGGAAAATAATAGTCATGGAGTAATGGGATAGAGGAGTAGCAAAGAGGAACTGAAGATAATCTCTTTGGATAGAAGTGATCCAGAGTCCCTCTGGGCAGCAGGCTTTTGGCAGGGACCTGCATCACATAAAAAATAAAAAAAAGAAGGAATCAAGGCATGAACCAGGTCTGGAATAGAGTGTCTGCAACTAAAGACAGTCAAGATGGAAGAAATAAATTCCAACAGAAAAGAGAAGGCTGGCTCTAGAAAGGTTCTTTGAGACTATATAGAGCAACGGTATGGGATAGAGGGAAGGGAACATTTTTTTTAGCAGCATCTACCACAACAGACTTCATTTAATATATATTTTATGAGAGGAAAAAGATTGTAGGACTTTTCAGAGCCTTTCATATGTTAGTATGCTCGGTGAAACCCTAAGATATGTGTGAGGGAGGGTAGGGATTGAATAGACAGTGCTTCTCAGAAGTATTTGTTTTGCGTGGAGGTGGTAGCATGTTAAACACTTTAGGGAATGCTCTTTTATCAAATGCCTGTGACCTCTTTTGAGAGCAGAAAGGGTGGGATCTGGTTCAGTTATCTCTAGTGAGCCAAGAATGGTGGCCAGAGGCTGAGTGATAGGCAAAATATTTTTATCGAACACCTATGTGCTAACCAGAAATGATCCTGGGATTTCAACATTTGGGCCTCAACAATGGGAAAGACAAAACGAGAATCAGCACAGAAGTCACCAGATCACCACCTCTTATAACCGCCCCCAGAAATATCCCCAAATTCCCAAAGCGCTGTCTATTACAAGCCTCCTCTCCAGCACGCTCACTCCCCTTCCCTCTACCGCTCATCGTTCTTGTCAACAAAGAAGGAATCAGGGAGTTCACCTCATGGGCTTTTCTCTAGGAAATTTTTCAGTATCATAGTGTGAGGGTACTAAAGGGAGATTCCTTGAGAGAGGCAAGACAAACATGTTAAGAGCCTTTCAAAAATGTCATTTTCGTACAGAGAAAGAAAGAAATCAGGAAAGGGCTCTCCTGCCAAACCACAAAGAAGATAGTTTATCAAGGAATGCTAATTTCTTTAGCATTAGTGGGGAATCGCCCACTGTGGGGATTAACAGACCGGTGTCCTTTTAATCAACAGATGAGAGACCTCCCTTCAAATAAGTGGGGTCAGTCGAGGGTTCTCTCCAGTTCAGAAGAGCAAGACAGCTAGGAGAAGCCACACCTTTCTGCAGTACTCAATGCAGTTTTTAGGTTAATCCTCTGATGATATTATAGCTACTTTCAATGGTTAATGAATAGCTTCTAAGTGCCTGCTTCGTTTAATTGTCCAAAGGCCAGTTGGCCCCAGGGCGTATAAAGCCACAAGCTGGCTAATGAGCACGCTCTCTGAGCAAGGGAAGCAGGGAAGTGACGGGGTCAGGGCGCTGGGTTCCAAGGGAGCAGGGATGCGGAACTGCACGGGTCTAGCTCTCTGTGTCCTTGCACTCCTGTCAGGCTTCCTGATCATCTGCCTGGGGGCCTTCTTCATCTCCTCCGGCTCCATCTACAACTGTAGAGGGAATTTGATCCTGGCCTATTTGCTTCTGCCTCTGGGGTTCGTGATACTTCTGAGTGGAATTTTCTGGACCACCTACCGCCAGGCCAGTGAAAACAAAGGGATGTTCAGCCATGTGTTCAGACAACACCTTGCTTGTGGCGCCCCGGCCCTGGCCACAGTGGACAGGTATGTGCTGAGAGGCTGGAGGACTGATGAGGGCGAGGTAGGGCTGAGTTGTGGAAAAGCTGAGTGACTTGTAATCCCACAGTGGAGCAACTTACGTGTCTCATAGGGCTGTGTGTCTACACCTGGAGCTTTATCATCAGGGAATTCCTCTGGGGTTGGTTATTAGGAAGAATGGTGCTGCCTCTGGGGGAAATCATGAAGAGAATTTACCTCAGAGAAACAACCTCCCCCCATTCCTCCCCACCCCATAAAAACCCACCTAAGTCCATTGAAGAGGCCCAACTCTTCGTTTCTTTTGCTGTATTACGGGAGCCATCCTTTGAGGCTGGTGGTGGTGGTCTGGGAAAGCGAATCCCAGACCAAATTCTGCTTCACCACAAATGAGCAAGGAAGCATGAAATCAGTCCTGCAACCTCTTCATAAACTCAGTGAAGTCCCAGCTTAGTATCCTGTTAGGTTATTTGATCATACTTTGCATGAAAGATTTATTTGAGGCAAGGCAATAATATTCCAGAGGTAAGAGCCAGTTAACCTTAACATCTCGTGCCCATTAGGGTGGCTATTTAAAAAACAAAACAAAACAAGAAACAACAAGTGTTAGTTAGGATGCGGAGAAATTGAAACCCTGGTGCACTGCTGGTGGGAATGTAAAACGGTGCAGCCACTTTGGAAATTGGTATGGAGGTTCCTGAAAACGTTGAACATAGAAACAGTATTTGATCCTGCAATTCCACTTTGGAGTGTATAGACAACAGAATTGAAAGCAGGAACTTGAACAGATATTTGTACACAATATGCATAGCGGCATTCTTCACAGTAGCCAAAAGGTAGCAACAACTCCTATGTCCATCAGTGGATGAAAATGTGGTATATACATACAATGGAATATTTGTCAGCCTTAAAAAGTAAGGAAATTGTCATGTATGCAATAACATGGATGAACCCTGAAGACATTATGCTTAGTGAAATAACTCAGACACAAAAAGACAAATATATACGATTCTACTTATATGAGGTACCGAGGGTAGTCAAATTTCTAGACTAAAAGTAGAACAGTGATTACCAGGGGTTGGGGGGAAGGGGATGGGGAGTTATGGTTTAATGGATACAGAATATCAGTTTGAGATGATGGAAAATTTCTGAAGCTAAATAGTGGTGTTGGTTGCACAACAATGTGAACGTACGTTATGCCACTGAATTGTATGCTTAAAATAGCTAGAGGTAAATTTTATGTTATATGTATTTTACCACATTAAAAAAATTTCAGTTACCTTTATAGTTAGTATGAGACAACCAAAAACCTCCTAATTCTTGGCTGAACATGGGATCATTGAATGATAAAACATCAGGTATCATCAACCTTAAGGTACAGACTCCAAGACTCCATAAACTCTTGCCCTCTTCACCTGATATAGTTTAGCTACTCCATGTATCTTGAATGTACGTAATTTTACTCATGACCTGCTTTTTGACATTATTATGCTAATAAGATACTAATTATTATAACCAAAACCCATTTCCAATGTTTATTATATTACTAGCAAAGTCCATGGATTTGATACAAAATTAAGATAACTGAAGTGGTTGTAGAAGCTGTTTCCAGAGTGATGATTTTCTTTTTGCATAAATGTTAGATGATTGCCTCCAGAGTGTGAATTTCTGATCAGAGTCACGGGTTACCGTTAGTGTGTAGCTTAAATTTACTAACACACACATAACATTACACTGTCTGTGTGGAAATGTTTTAAAGTAAATTATGGACATCATGGCGTCCCCAGTTTACTGCCTTTTCCTGCTGCATGTAATAAGTGCCTTGTCCACTCAGAGTGGCTAGTAAGCCCATCAATGAAAAGTTACATTTCTCAGAAGCACTGGCATTCAAAATGGGTACCTAGGCTGAGGTATGAGAGCAAATGGGTCTGTAATGGTGGAATTCAGGTCACTGGGAGTGTGAATTGCAATGGGGGTGGGGATTGGGAGAGGCGGATGGGATTTGGGGAGCAACTGCCAGTCATCCCGGAGCCTCTCAAATTGCTCCAGGGAACAGCTCACCTTTCTATCTTCAATGTCTTTCCACATGTGGCCATGGCAGAGCCTCGGCTATTCTGAGTGGAGGCTGAGATTCGTGCTGTACAGTAGACAGCTCCTTCAGCCATTTGGCTTTGGGCCTGCTCACATTTGGAATGGAACTGTGGCTACAAATGGCAGTCCCGGCTCTGTTGTGGTTACACACCACAAACACTCCCTGTAGGCACTGGAGGAATTCACTCTATAAATACACAACTCAATCGAGCTCACCCTCTCTCTTCCTCACCTCCATGCCACCCCCAATCCCATTCATAATGGAGAAGCCAGAAGCATTTAGCAATTAGCAACACTGGGGAAGTTTACCAATGAGGACATCAGCTCTGGCGTGCAAGGCTCCTTTAGCCATCGGCCTGATGGCATGGAAAGAGCTGCAACTAAAATCTACCTAAAGTTGGCAATTGAAATACTTTGGGAAACGTGGTTAGTTTTTTTGCTTTTTTTTTTTTTTAAACTACCTGCTAAGACTTGAAAGAGTTATAGGAAAGAGAGAAGCATCTGATACAAGTCAGGAACCTGTATGGAGCTGGTTTTCATTCATTATTTGGTTGGCTGTGTGGATCTGAAACAGTAAATACAATTGAGTAGATGATGTGTGTGAATGGGGACAAGGACATATAAGTAATTGGGTTGCGAGAAGTCCCACGGTCAAGGCCCCCATGTCACCTACCCCTGTTAAGGATCTCACACTGGAAACCCCTGGTTCCAATGAGGAAGAGAAAGGAAATAGCTTGGAATAGCACCCAGGGAACAGTATGACTACAGAGCCCTACATCCTATGGCTGATAAAAGAGACTCTGCTGGAAGAGCAGCACATTTAAAAAAGAAAAAAAAAACAAAACAAAAAAACTGGTGATGCCAGGAAGAAGTACATCTGTTTCAAAATCAATGTTTCTTAACAGTTTCACTTCACACATTCGAGAGAGGCAGACATATGCCTCTTTGGCATTAACAACTTAAATAACACATGTATGTTGGTGGCATTTTGTCCCCTAGGCCAGATTTTTACCCTCCTGCTTATGAAGAGAGTCTTGATGCTGAAAAGCAAACCTGCCCTGCAGAGGGAGAGGCCTTGGATGTTCCTCCGCCTCTGTACACAGAGCTGGACCTTGAATTTGAGGATGACACTGATGCTCACCGAGAGGCCCCACCTTCCTATGACGAGTCTGTAGCAGGCGGCGGCGGCAGCGGCGCCATCGCAGGATGCTGAGAGGCAAAGCCGAAAGGGCTGGAGCAGGGGAAGCTCTCCAGCACACGTCACGCCCTCATGGGACACAGCTGCTAATAATAAACGCAAGCATGGGACTGTGGGAGGAAAAGCCATGTCAGTGACCCCGAGCACAAGCTCCCCAGGGGAATGCTTGAGTCTCTAAGAAATCTTTTCAGCTTTATTATATTTTATTATGTGTTTTCATACAAGAGGACAAGTCGGATGGCAGCGGGGTGGACAGAGATGCAGTCTGATGCTTTAGAGCTTGGATAAGAAACTTGGTCTCGCTGGGCCTCAGTTTCCTCCTCGATCAAGGGAGGAATTTATGCTGAGATTCATATCTTACAATTATGGGATGCTTTTTAGATGGCAGCCTCTGTGCTATGAACTTTCTATGCTTCCTTGTTAGCCCTTAGGATAACCTTCAGAGATGGGTGTGATGATTATTCCCATTTTACAGATGCATAAATTGAGACTTTGAGAAGTTAAGAAAGTTTTCAAATAACATACAGTTATTTTCCAGGGTGTTGAAGGAGGGTCTATAGAGGGCCCCTGGAGGGTGTATTTACTGTCAACGTTTGTGCTAAGTTAATCCTGTCTTAGGTCCCTCCTCCCAGGGAGCAGTTTGGACTTCTCTCTCCCTTCAGAAAGTGGGCCCTCACAGAAGTGGCGCCCCAGGGGTGCTGCAATCCTTAAAGTCCTTGGAGAGGCAGCGGAGACTCTTTTCATGGCTTAACTTCCCTCTGAAAATGCAAATATGCCGTCCATGTTTTCTGCCCAGGAACTTGGCCCTCATCTCCTAGTGTAGTTTCCTTTCCTACTGATGACGAGAGATGGTCCCTAAAGGTAACAGGCAGCCCTGGGTGAATGGGCGCAGGAGGGCCCTTGGATTGCCGTGGGAAGGGTGAAGAGCTTTCAAGGAGGAAGAGGGTTGTCGAGATGAGATGGGGCCCCCATGGCCTCCTCTTCCCTGGGACTGCTGAGTGCACAGATGAAGCATGTCCTGACAAGCAGACAGGAAGCCACATAAAAAAAAATTCTGGTCCCTTCACACAAAGACTGAATTAGGGCATCTGTGACTTGAACCCTTGACACCAAGGACATAACTGGATATTACAGGCCACTCGTGGTTGTCCAATGAAGGTGATCATTTGTTAGCAATGCAATTTATTATTCATCTCTTTCAATCCCTCTACTGAGATTTTATCCTGAAATTACCCCTGGGGTTTGAGTACATGCACTGATCTGAACAAGCTCTATCACTGGGTTTTCATCCAGAGTTTGCATTTATAATAGATGGTTTTTCCAACTACTGGTAGTCATGTGAAAAAAATATTAATTTTTGGTTTACATAGGAAAATAGTGTTAATCCCTTTACTGCAATAAATTTTGTACTTAAACTTTCCCTCTTTTGCAATTGTTTTGTATCAGAAAAAAAATCAGTACAGGAACATACGTCAAAGTTTCACTCTCTATGTGGAATTAACACAGCATCCAATGAGTTAATCTTTTTTGCAAACCCAAACATTACCGAACAAAAACTATTGATTCAGAAAATAAGCCAGGTGCTTTTAGAAAAGAAATATGAATAATAGGCATTTATTGCCTTAAAAAAACCAACATATGTACTCTGAAGCAAGCATCAAGAACATGGGTATTACCCAAAATAAATCCTACCTTTGAAAGGCCCAGCAATTAAAACTCACTGGGCAAGTCAGACAAAAGTGTGCTGTGTGGTTAATAAGAATTCATTGGCCACCCCTGGCGGAGTCACTCAGGGGAAGTAGACATTGTATCCTCTCTCCCCCTTACATTTATGATAAAATTAATGGTGGTGCACTGAGAACCATGATGCTGAGAGAAGGCATTTAGACTGTGAGAAAACGAACAAGAGGCAAACCTCCAGGCAGAGTGGCTTTGCCCGTTCCCAATTCTCAATGTCAATGGTACGCTCACATGTCAAATGGGGAAGGGAAATGCCCAGCGGTGAGGGCTCTTCAGTATTTTAATCTTATAATATCCCTCTGAACAACAAGTGCAAGTACCCACCCCCACGCCCCAGAAGATGAGCAGGACAAGGTCAGTCATAGAAGAGTTCATGCTGCATCTTTTGCATATCTTAGATGTAGCATGTGTATTTTTAACCCCTCCACTCAGCAACTCACAAGTACTTTTACTGACAATCCTATCCACCTTGCAAGAGTCTAGTCAAATGCATAGTCTTTTGTGAGGTTATCTCCACAGCTCACTTATATTGCAGGGCACATACTAGTTGCTAAAAGACATGGAGACATAGTAAAAACACGGGTTTATAATGCATATCTTCACCATATGCTATAATGTTCCATGAACACTTAGGCTGATTCACATACCAAGTGGGCTGTCAACTGTATGAGCCATTCCCACTGATAAGGACTGCAGCTTGTTGGAGTGGAGCAGGCATTCTGTTAAGCTCTGACACCTCGGATAATCTCTTGCTGTTTGTAATTGTTGAAGGGCCAAAGACTGGTTTACTGGCAGTTACATCATTTCCTAAGGCATGCGATTTCTCAGACCCTTCTCCACTCAGGAATGGACGTCTCCTCAATGCAGGTGTCTGGGCTATCAGTATCCACATGTTTTGAAAGGACCCGCTGAATGATCAAGCTGTAAATTGGAGTCATCTGTGGTATCTCTACCAGTTCCCTCAGATGCTTTGCAAATTCCCCACACCTGCCATGGCTGAGTACTGCCTTACAATGATCCACAGCTGGCCAGTGAGAAGTCACCACACCATTATCCCTGTCATTGCCTGTATTATCTGTGGAGAATACTGGCTCAGTGCAGCCAGCTGTCAGCCCAATGGGCCACCATCTGAGGCCTCCTGTGCAGAAAGCTTTCTCATCATGTCCAAGCCCTTCGGCCTGCAACACTATTTGCAACACTGTTTGGATGTAGGCTGCACTTTGGATCAGTAAGATGTGATAAATGGCCTTATTTTAACAATGGCTGCCTACCCATTATTACTGAGTCAGCTAATAATCTCAAGAATCATGGATGAGGCAAAACAGGTTTTTGTTCTAGGGGACTGGCTGACACCTGGAAGGAAATTTAGCATCCTTGGTCCCCTCCCACCAAATGCCCCCCTGACACATATACACACACATTTCCAAACACCCCCCCCCCGGTGGCAGTGGCACTGCCCTGGTTGGGAACCACTGTGTTGTATATACCATTGCTTGTCATTGTTCTGGACGCACATGGTGTTGTGAGTGAACCTCTCATATTAGCTGATCACAAGAGTGGCCCCGACAGTTGCCACACTCTATCCATAGTCTCTTTTATGATTGTCTCCCGTGCTCCCCAGAAATCTCTTGGGCTTCTCCAGAAAGACAAACTGGTGGCTAGAGCTTCATATTTAATAACATAAAGAACATTATGTACAGGAGAGTGACTTCCTGTCTTTCACCTCCCTGAGGATAAGGTAAGAGGATGTGTATGTATAGCTGAGCAGAAGCTTGGATTTTAAGTAAAGCAGAAATGATGCCCTGGCAATGTGCATCTGAGCAGGTTCCAGGGAGAGGCTGTATCCCAGGGCCACTACGGGACCTTCCCTTTGGCAACCTAGCTGAGAAAATGCTCTGTAAAAATAGGCGCCTGTGCAGCTGCTTCTTTCCACAGTGGGTGCAAGTATTTGCTCTGCCTGATATTTATAACGCTGTGTCTGCTTCCACCCCACTCATCCAAGCCCAACTCTCACTAGACCCAAAGCAAGCCTCCTCTCCAACTCTCTTCCCTCTCAACTCTTAGTCTTTGCTCTTGCTACATTCACCCCATGTGAAATTATATAAATGCTTACAAGTCCCAGGAAACTCCACTCTGGGAAATCCCTCAAGTGCCTAGTGATCTGCCATCTCTCAGCCACTCGCCCTATGTGTTTCCATAGTACGTTGCTGCGCCTCTACTGTAACATTCATATCCACCTGGTTCTTTGTGCATGTTGGTCACAGCTACCTTGTCCCAGATTACAAACTCACAGGAGCAGCAATGTTTTAGACATCTCCCTGCTGCACCCAAACTAGAACTCTGTATAGAGTTGTTCAGCCAATGTTTGCTGAATGAATGATATACTGGGAGTGCCAAAAAGCCGTGTACACATGACTTGTATGCATCTTTTGTTATCGGTATATATTGAGTATTACAATTTTAATAGGTTTTTTTCCTTTCTTAAAATGTGTATACATTTTTTGGGCATAGTTGGTATATTTGGGCTGCTGGGCACACATGACTCCATACTGAAATAAAGAAACAGAATTTTAAAATGAGGATTAATTTACATTTGAACATTGAGAGTTAGAGATGATTAAAAGATCAGCAACGTGAGAAAAACAAATAGTAGTTTCTTACCTAGAGCCAAGCCTAAGGATGCGTCTAACCATGCTGACCAACACAGAGCCGAGTGCTGAATGGAATGCCTGCCATGGGCCTCCACTTTAAAGATGATGAAAGCCAAAGGTATAAGCAAACTCTATTCCAGTGTTGATCACGGAATGATCTGTTTCATAACTAGTCTTTCAGAAGCTCAGCTCAAAGTGACCCTCCTATTATTTTGAAATGAAGATACTTATGACGAAAGCCTAGCTGCCATTTCAGTTTCTGCTGACTCCCAAAGGCCGTTTTGAGCAATTCGCCTTTTCTGTTCCATTTATTAAATAAATCCCCAAGGTCATGATACTGAAAATCAGCCCTGGCTAGTGTTCTGAAAGGCAGGCTTCACATAACAGTGAGCACCACTGGAGTCTCTCAAATGGCAAATTAAACAAATAAGCAAAACTCCACAATCTGCGCATCAGGTTGAAATACGTAATTTCTTTTTTATTGGATACTAAAAGTCCTAGCAAATTTCTGACAGAAGCATAGATAGAAAATGGAAACAAACACCTTATTGGGCATGTTTCTCTGCTTGTACTCATCTTGACTACAGCAATAACACATTGCTTAACAGTCAAAGCACACCACGTCATCTGTGCAAATGACACGATAAGTGAGAGTGCCGTTCCCAAGGAAGCAAAACATATGCAAACAGGTCCCATGCACCTAGTGCCCTGGCTGAGTGCTGACGGAGGCGGCTAGAGCTGCAATATCCTTTTCTTGGGCAAAGAAAGCCAGTTGTGACCCTCTGCCTTCCAGCAGGGGACCCCCACTCTGCCCTCCATCTCATCAGGCCCATAACTGTACCACCAGTAAGGTTTTCTTCCAGCATCCCCTGTATTTCCTACTTTCACAGCATTTCACTGTCTCCTTTTACAGCCATTATAAGTAAAATCTGAACTGTGTCCAAACAACTGCATTAAAATAAGCCCCGATTAGGAGATAAGATAACAGAGAGAAAGTCAGAGAGATAGCAGACATGGGGATAGTTTGTCTTCCCAGGAGGAATGAGTATAATAAACCCATGTAACAACCTAGGCAATATCATCAAGGGAGGGCCCGAAAAATGTAAGCATTCTTTTGCAGAGTCCTGCCAAGAAACTGCTTCCCACCCGCATAATGAATGGCTGAATTTGAAGGAATGCAGCCAGCTTAATAGCCAAAATAATAGTACGTACAAAATAAAAGAGAAAAACACCCTTTGATGTGTTCTGTGGAAAGTGTGCCATTGTGATTTATAGAAAGCTTTAGAAGATGTGAGAGAAGGTGGCACAGGGACTTTGGAGATGGGAGCATGGGAAAGCAGGCCACCAGGTGGTTGGCAGTCATATAAGGTGGGCTAGGAGGAGTTCTACAACTTTCCCCGTGGGAGACCTGACCTAGGATGAAAAGCTAGACACTCCTCCATGCTGCGGAGAGCCTTCTCAGGTCCGTCCAGGGGCACTCACAGCTTAGGGTCAGCTCAATTCTGCCACTACGCTCTACTCCATTATTTCAGAACCTTTTCTCATCTGGCACCAATGATGCCCAGAGGTCATGACCAGCGGTTTTCTAGCCTATTTATTCTTTCTTAAAAGGGGAGGTTCCTCTGTGTGATAAACTATAGATATCAAAGGATAGTGCAGCTTTAACAGACAACTGAAGCCCCTATTGCATTTGGAGGAACTGACTCAAACCCAAACAAAACAGATTTTTTTCTTTCCCCAGATACCCACCCCCACCTCCCACCAGCAAAAGATCTTTTTCTTTTTGTCCCCAAAGTCCTAAGAGGCACACACAGGTAGCAAGAAGGCGTGGTGCAGTGTCTCCGCTGAGCGCTGTCTTTCGGGCCTGGTGAGGGTTCTTCCTCCCTTCAGGTGATGACCGTGGGGCCCCGCCGGCCGGTTCTCTCATGGATCTGGGATATTTTCAGCGCAATGGCTATGAGAGGGCTCAGCACTGCCTGGAAAGGAGGAAGACAGTCGGTGAATAACTGGAGTCAATCACAGAAGGGCTGCTGATGGGTTTCTATCACAAACATCTGGGTTGGATTCCTATTTGCGACTTAACAGGTGGCATCTTCATGGGCAGGACACCTGTTCTCTGGACCTTGGGTTCCTCTTCCATAGCAGAAGATTGGAGCGGGCAGGATGAGGAGAGTAAGGGGAGAGGATGATCTCTAAGTCTTATCTAACTCCCCAAAAGCATTGATCTAAGATAGGAAACCACACAACCCAACTTCCAGAGCACTGGAGCAGTTCATGAACAGAGCTTTGTGAATTAGGGAAGTTCAGAGAACCCCACAGACTTCCTCTGCTATCCTACCTTCCCCACATGTACACTGCCCCCCACACACACACACATGAACTTCAGAAAAAAGTCATTCTCTATTCTAAGACCATGGGCCTCAAGAATCTACTATCTTGAGGTGTCAGAGCACACAGACTAATCCATTGGCTGATGCTGCAGAAATAACTGTTCATTTCTTCCCATCAAATAACACAGTGGCTCATGTGGCCCCTCAGCGTCCCCTAGAAGGAGGTAGGGTGGCTTAGAGGCCTAAGGAATGGATTCTTGGAAAAGCGAAGGGCACGGTAAGGAGTAAGAGTCATTTCTTGCCCTTTAGCTACTTACTATTTCCTAGGAGTAAGGCACTTATTTGCAAAGTGTGGAGCACATAGCACTCAAGATGGTTTTAGGTGGTGCATGGACATGGTGTTACAAAACAGTGACAAGGTCACTCTACTTTCCATTCTTCTTCAATCCTCCTAACAGAGCATGCCTCAGGTAAGACTTACCTAGGTAGAAGATGATATCATTGTGTGTTTGTTTTTTTAAATTCATTTTTATTTATTTATTTATTTATTTATTTATTTATTTATTTATTTTTATTATTATTTTTTAAAAGATTTTTATTGGGGAATTGGGGGAAGGGGAACAGACAATTTGCTGTCCTTTTGTTCTTCAAACTTTTGTTCTAGTTGTGGAGGACGTTGCTTCACTGGCCCAAGTTGGCACCATCATTGTGCTCTTCCCGGGTGAGGCACATCAGTCGCCGGCTTCTGGACGGCCGCTCACTGCGGCTGCTGGCTGCTCACGCTGGCTGCTGGCTACATACGGTAGCCCATGGCAACCCACTGCCACAGGGACTGCAGCCTACGCCGTCGCCGGCGACTCACGGCAGCCCAGCTCCAGGTTGAGCTGTTGTTCAGCATCTTAGCTGTGGAGGGCAGTGTCACTGGCCCTCATATGTGGGATCCGAACCGGGGCCCTCTGGCGTCCCAAGCCAGTTCTTAACCATCGCGCCACTCGGCCGGCCCTTGAATTCATTTTTATAGTGAGCTTTTTATTTAAGAAGGGCTACTGTGTTTTTCCATGTGGAGCATTGATGTAAACTTTCAATAGGAAATAATAGATTTAAGTGAAAACAAAGCGAGTCCACTTAAGGATAAATACTAATGTAGCAATATTGGTAGGAAAGAAGACTGGGAAACACTGGCATAAAAGGAAAAAAAAGGACACCATATTGAGGAAAAGAAAACCTGTCATTTTGGCAGGGAGAAGGAGATTCTGTTGCTTGTAACCCTCACCTATTCCTAACAGATACGGGCGTGAAGGGAGGGCCTGCATTCTCATCAGACAAGAGCACCAGCAAACGCCCAGGGCACAAGGAGCGCAGTGTGTCCTGAGTGGGGCGTAGACACAGGCCGGTCCAGAATGATAACTGAGCAAGTCTTGTTTGGAGGGACCTAAATGCCAGAGTGAAGCGTAAGGATTTAATTCCTTGGGCAAGGGGAGATGTTGGGAGGTTTTTGAGCTGAAAGGTGACTGTGAGAGCTATGCTTTGGAAAGACTGCTCCAGCAACAAATCCAGTCAACACATGGATGGCTAAATGTATAAAATTATCTTACTCTATGAAGCTGCGGAGATGGAAAAAGCGCAGACATAATGTTGGACACTAGGAGGGAGATGAAAATCGAGGGCCATTCCACAACTGCACAGGCGAGCAGTGCTTTCCTCTGGTTCCACACCCATAAACCTGACATCCAGAAACAGAGTGTTTCTGTTCCTTTTGATAACCCAGCTGGTGCCCAGAAAAATCTCCGACTGGCACATTTTGCCAGAACAGAGTTCACATGATGCCCATATAGGGGCATCTGGATTCTTCAGGAGCCAAGCACCCATTTTGCATAGAAATCAGATTATTCGCTTTCACTCCTCCTCTTCGTCTCCTCGTCCCTCTTTCATGCTCCCCACCCCCTTTTTTTTGGCTATTAAACCGTTCATTAACGCCTATAAAAGAGGCGAAACAAGGACAGAGAAAGGGAGTGAAGTTAAAAGGAAGCACTTTAACTGAGATCCTAGAGAGCAAGTAAAGATAAATTGAAAATAGCCTATCAATTTAAGAAAATGCAGTGAAACTGAATTTGAAACTTCAAGGACTGAAAAAGTAAAACATATTTGTCTCATATCATTGTCAGTCTCAAGATGAAGGATTTTCCAGTCCATATCTTTAAGGGGTGGTCCCTATTGGCAAAAGGGTCGGGGAGCACAGTTATAAGTGATGCTGTACATACTTCAGATGCTGTCTTTACTGATCTCTGCTGAACTCTGCAGATGCACCTATGCTTTCCATTTCTTCTGTAAAACATCCTGATTGATGTCCACAGCACACTGGATGTCTGTGACCAACAAATCACTCTCTGACATGCTCACCGATTTCTGCCTCCTGCAGCTGAGCTATGTGCTTACCAGAAGTCAGTTAAGTGTATCCTTAAATATGTTAATGCCTGTTGTACTTGTTATTGAGACTATGCAATTATTATAATAAATTACAGGTAAACCAGTGAAATGCAAGTATAAATAAGAGGAGTTCTTTCTGTGAAAATTAAGTTGAATGCTTTGACAGATTTAGGTCATGGTGATTAGCTAATCTTGTCAAATTAGATGTGAGTTAGATACTATAAAATATTAGGGAGAAATTTTTAAAACTACTGAAAACTCTTTCCTCGGATTGCATCACAAGTGTCTCTAAGTTCCCACTGACTATAAAGAAATTAAAGATGAACATTACATGTGATGATTCATGAGTGGGAATCTTTTAAAGAAAGATAATCACAACGCCAAACAGTATGCTCATTTTCAAAGAAAAAGTTTTGGACCAAAACACAAGATGGACAAATCAGCATACACTTAGTGTTTCCTGCTAAAAATTGATGGTCAAGATCTGTATGCATTTAATGCATTTAATGACCTCTTCTAATTCTCTTTCCGGATTAATGAACCAAGCACTTGTCCCTTGTCCTGATCATGTCAGAGAAGAAGGCTTCCATGGTGTTTATGCAGACTGAAGGGAAGGAAACACAGTTTTGGAAACTCCATAGGAGGAAGACTTCCAATATGGAGACCCCCACCCAGAGCACAGAGCCCCAGGCCAACCTGGCACAGAAGCTGTGGAGCCATCTGCCCTCAAGGGACTGTGAGGGTTTGGGAAGAGGGACACTGGTGATTATCACCATGGATTGAAAGCTAGTGAGGTCCATCCACCCATTTTTCAGAGACCCAGAAAGTCTTACATGTTTGTGTGACCCTAAGGAGTTCTGGGAGACGTCTCTCAAAATGCCCAAGATTGAATTTTTTGTCAGCCTTATGGAATGGGAGCTGCAAGGCATCATTAACTTAAGGTTCATAAAGTATTTTTTTCTTTATGCCTGAAGGTGTAAATATACAGATGGTGTGCAAAAAATGTACACACATTTAAAAAAAGAAAAGCTGTATTAAAATTGTAATACTCAATATATACTGATAACAAAAGATGAATACAAGTCACATTTGGCTTCTGCAATTACAAGAGGTGCTCAAAGTGGTTCCCATCAGTGTCCAGACACTTCTGATTACAGCGAACTACTGCTTGAGCAATGTTGACCAAAGTGTCCACTTGTATACATTTTTTTGGCAGGAATATATATATTCCTGACTACACACACACACACACACACACACACACACACACATTTGCTAGAATGAGGGCAGGAACTTTGTCTAAATTAGGGCTTAGAAAAGTACCTGCTATTTAGGAGGTATTTCATAAATATTGGTATTTCATAAATATATGAATGTTATATCAGTTTGATGAAAAGAAAATGATGAGGCAGACAGATTCTTCTGTGGCCATTCATCAAGGGCATTCTGGATGAGTGAAAAAGACAGTAATATCGGATTCACTGTCATGTTTTACTTTAGAAATCACAGGTTTGATACATGTGAATCCCAGACACTTCTCTCACATCGTCAACCATGTAACATGGAAAAGAGAGAGGGTGATCTCCCTCCTCAGGCATCGGAAAGACGCTCAGAATGGGGAGTGAAAAGAGGGGTTAAAAATTAGAAACCCACGGATGCAACATTTCTGAGGTGAAGCTGGAAGCACGGAGCTTGAGAAGCAGAGAGGAACACGGGATGATCTAGCGGGATTCTTTCATGTCACAGATGAGGAAACCCAGCCCAGAGAGGAGACATGATTGGTTCAGGGCCATACGTCTGTCTGGTGGCTGAGCTGGGATAAGAACATAGGCTTGCCCCATCTACTGTTCTTTCTATTACACAGTTCTGATTATGAAGCTACGAGTGACAAGGAAAAGCAGCAGACACATGAGCCTCAGGAGAGGGGGAGGAGAAATGGTAGGGTCATCACCCCACGGTACCAGACAAGTCCCACATCAGATGAGGGGTTGGATAGGACTGACCAGCCATCCCCACTGACCCAGAAAAGGTGGACAGTAGGAAGAAAGGCATTCCTGCTTATGTGAATGTTTTAGAAGTTCCAAGGTGATTCTTTGTGAATAAAGGAAATAAGCAAACAGAGACTTTAATCTGTTATGAATACAGCATCTTGCATCTAATTTCGGTACTTGCACAGCGCTTGACGCAGCTTTTCTACACTAAACTGCAGGAAATGGTGA